ATATAATATATATATATATATATATATATATATATATATATATATATATAAGTATAAGTATATATAATATTAGACTTTTAATGGTACATATAGTATAAGGGTGTATTTTATACTTTTAAAATACTAGGGTTTTAATAATATTTAACTTTTTTGAAAATTAAAACTTTTAAATTTTAAACTCTTAAATATTAAAATATTAATTTAATAATTATCCAAAAGTAAACAATTAATTTAAAATTATTAAATCTTGTAGGATTGTTTATTAAAGTAAACAATTAATTTAATCTAATCCCATATCCCCTAAGATTTGAAAATTTTATGGATGGGATAATTCATAAGATCTTTAATTATCTATTTAAGGAATCAAGGATAATTACAAGATACAACATTATCCAAATCCCTAAAATTTGTGAATCATATCTAAGGGACAAGGCCAAATTTGAAATTTTAGGGTTAGACAACCCTAAAATCGAAATCTTAGGGTCAAAGGAAAGGGTTTAGGAAACCCTTCCAAAATTTCGAAATCTAGGGTTTAGAAACCCTAATTTCAAAAATCAAGCCTCTAGGGTTTATTAGCCATAAACCCTAATTGTCATATTCATAAATATGTATTAAATTTAATTGAAAAAAAAAGTTGAGGCTCTGATACCACTGATGAGTTTTATACATAGCAAAAAATCCTATGTGTGTATGCAACCCTAATTTGAGGATCTATGTTTTTCACTATTAGACATACAAGCATTGAACACAAAAACTAGAAAATCCTAATAGGCACAAGTAAATTTTGAAATTAACATATAAATACGGTTAGCACACATACCTTGATTGTTATATTGTAATAACAATCAAATCCTTAAAGATCTTGAACTTTGGTAGAAAGCGCCACAAGTGTCGCGCCTCTAATGACTCACAAACAAACCTAGTAACCAAGGATTAATATGGAGAGAGACGGGAAGTGGAAAATTCGGCTCTAAGCCTCTCTTGGAGTGCCTTAGACAAAACCCAACCCTATAGGGGTTTATATAGGTAATAAGGAAGGTTTAGGATAAGGCAGGCGTATCTTAGATAACCCTAATCCCTTAACTTCCTCCCTAAGGCTTCCAAGGCACCCTTAGAGCCCAAGGAAACCCTAGGAGACTATAGATTTCGTTCCCCAAATCTAGGGGAGGTTCTAGAATGCTTCAATGCTCAACTTTTGAACATTGTCACCTTTAGTCCCTGTAGTTTCAATTAATTCTTTTAATCCTAAAATTAATCCCAAACTAATTTTTTATTAAATATTAATGAAACAATATGATCTCTAATCAATATATTATATCCATAATACATTAATAAATAATTTATCTTGATTTCAAAATAATTTATTAACCAAGTAATAAATTAATAAATCATTCTTCTCTCTCCAACAATTATCCTATTCCATTGCCAGGTTTGAAGGCAACCCAAAAGGACATTGCTACTATCAATTCAAGTACATACCAATTATAGTTATGGGTTTAGACACCTAATCCAATAGATTGAAACAAATGAAGTGTTGCTGAAATCAAAACGACATGGCGATATGTTTACTCTTGATATCAAACCGATGGTTGGGAAACCTTCAATTTGTTTACTTTCGAAAGCTAAATCCGATGTTAGTTGGTTATGGCATCGTCGGTTATGTCATTTAAATTTTCGAAATTTAAATAAGTTGGTAACTGAAGATCTGGTTCGAGGCTTACCAGTTTTAAAATTTGATAATGATACTTTATGTGCAGCTTGAGAACAAGGGAAACAACATCGAAAAGGACATCCAGTTGTGATAGATTCGAAAATCGTGGAACCGTTGGAACTTCTTCATATTGACCTTTGTTGACCATATATTATTGAAACTCTCAACAAGAAACGGTACATTTTGGTTATTGTTGATGATTTTTCACGATTTAAGTGGGTATATTTTCTCAAGTTAAAATCTAAAGTCGCTCAGACGACGATCCGATTTTTCAAGAAAATTGAGAAAAGTCTGAAGAAGAGTGTTCGAAACATCAAAAGTGATAATGGGTCTGAGTTTAAGAACAAAGTGCTTGATTCGTTCTTAGTTGAAAAAGGAATTTTGCATAATTTTTCATCACCATACACACCACAACAAAATGGTGTTGTTGAACGAAGGAATAGGTCACTTTGCGAAGAAGCAAGAACAATGTTGACATATGCGAATCTTCCTCAATATTTTTCGGCTGAAGCAGTATCCAAAACGTGTTTTACTCAGAATCGTTCTTTTATTCATCGACATTTCAATATCACTCTCTATGAAATAATAAATAATCGAAAACCAAATGTTAAATTTTTCCATGTGTTTGGTTGTAGGTGCTTTATCATGAATCTCAAGTATAATCTTTCGAAGTTTCAAGCTAAGACTGATGAAGGAGTATTTTTGGGATATTCACACACTTCGGTTGCATATAGAATGTTAAATAAACGAACACGAAAAGTCGAAGAAACATTCAATCTTACTTTTGATGACTATTATGTTAAACAAGTTGACAAACTCTTCGAACAAAAGCCAATTATTAATGAATCAAGTGATGAAACTGAAATTGTAACTCACCTGATTTTGATTATGATTTAATTTTTGGTGTTCCTGATAGGGTTGTGAATGCGGAAGTTCATACGAATGATAATAATCATTCAGAATCTTCGAAGCACATTGATGGATCGAATCTTACCCAAATTCCTGATGACAATATTTCAACATCGAATTCTCCAAGAATTGACGAAAGTATGCTAAATAATCCAGTGGAGGGGGAGCACTTGGATATGAATACTCAAATTGAGGGGGAGAATTGTTTCGAGGGGGACAATGGGAGACTGAATGAAGATGTTGAGGGGGAGCATCTAGTTGAGTGGGAGAAATAGAATCAAAATAACAATGATAGGATAAGTCTTGATCTAAATGATGAATTTCACGGAATTATTGATAATCTTTCTGTTGCAGGATCAGAAAATGAAGATTTATACGAAGATGGACATTTGGATTTGAATCCAGCATATCTACCACTCGAAAAATAGACAAAACATCATTTGAAAGAACAAGTAATTGGAAATCCAGAAGATGGAGTTTTAATGAGAGCTCAACTTCGTGAAAAGAATGACGTATTAAATACTCATCAAGAATTTTACATGTTCAATGTTTTCACTTTGAAAATCGAACAAAAGACAATTAAGGATGCAATGGAACACTCTGATTGGGTTGTTGCAATGCAATCTAAATTGGATGAGTTTGAACGAAATAAGTTTTGGAGATTAATTCCTAAACCTAAAAATATTTTGATTGTCCGGTTAAAATGGATTTTCAAAAATAAAACCAACAAAGATGGAAACATTATTCGAAACAAATCCAGACTTGTTGTAAAATGTTACGCAAAACAAGAGGGGATAGACTATGAAGAAACTTTCGCCCCTATCGGAAGACTCGAGGATGTTTGTATATTTATGGCTTATGCAACTCAAAAAGATTTCGATGTATATCAAATGGATGTGAAGTGTGCATTTTTTAATGGAGAACTCAAAGAAACAGCATGTGTGGAACAACCCCTAGGTTTTGTCAGTAAAGATCATCGTGATTATTGTTATATTTTAGATAAGGCAGTTTATGGGTTAAAACAAGCACCAAGAACTTGGTATGCAACTCTTACCTTTTTCTTAAAACAATCGAAATTTAAAGGGTTATTGTCATTGTTGCCTAACAAACTTTAGTATATTGGTTTAAATGGTCCCTCGTGACTATTTTTCGCATTTGAAGGGCACAAAATTGTATTTCTAGGTTTTAAAAGGTCATTCTGGAAAATTTGAAGGGGTCACCCGGTGACACCCATCCTAATCAGTAGGTTTAAATGCCAACTCAATTGCCACGTGTAACACCCAATATAATGCTTTCTTTAGAACCCGAATCCGATCAAATCCCTTACCATCTTCCATCTTCGCCTGCTCTGATGTTGTCTTCTCCAGCTCCGTCGTTGTCTTCTTCGGCTCCAGCGATGGCCCTGATGTTCACTCCGGTAGAATCGAACACCAAGCATAGAGTCTGATGTTCACTCCGTAACACAGTCCCTCTCAACATAGATCGACTCTATGGATCGATCCGCAAGGGTTCATTCTCATTTCTGTCAAACGGGGTTGAAATTGGGGACGATTTTGAAAGTTATAGAGAAGATGAAGATGGTGGGAGCGGAAGTGGGTATCATCACGAAAGAGGCCCGAGCTTAGGTGGTAATGTTTTTGTCGATTTGATCCATCCTATAGCAATCAAGGAGCTGAAATCCATCGCCAATCGGATGATTAGGTCCAACTATGAAAAAGAGTGTTGTCAGGTTTATAGTAATGTTTGACGTGATGTATTAATCGAGTGTTTATCCATTCTAGGAGTTGAAAGGCTTAGTATTGAAGAAGTACAGAAGATTGAATGGAAAATTTTGGACGAGAAAATGAAGAAATGGATTCAAGCGATTAAAATTATGGTCAAGGTTCTTCTTTTTGGAGAGAAACGATTATGCGAACAAGTTTTCAGCGAATCCGAACTTATCAAAGAAATTAGTTTCGTTGAAACAACAAAAGGATGTGTGATGCAGCTGTTGAATTTTGGGGAAGCAGTTGCAATTGGGCGAAGATATTCATAAAAACTCTTTCAAATTCTCGACATGTATGACGCGGTTGTAGATGTTTTCCCTAATTTCGAATTTATTTTCACTTATGAATCTGGAGAATTAGTCTGCAACGAGGTGAAGTTGGTTTTAACCGACATATAAAATCAATTCTCTAAACCAAAATGTTTGCTTGAAATCAGTTTCTGAAACCGTTTTTCTAAGATGTTTGCTTGAAATCAATTTGAAAATGAAATTGTTTTCTTGAAATCGGTTTCTAAACTCCTAAAGTACTCTTTCTTCCCGAGGAACTGGATGTCAGTGAAGGCAGCCAATATGACCAAAGTATCACCTAACTATCATCTCTAATCATCTTATCATCTAAATATGTTTCATCTTCATCTCTGTCGTAATCATCGTCAAAAACCATATCTCGTGGAGTTGAAGATGATCACCAAGAACCCATCGATTTATGTGTACCCAAATAAGGGGTAGTGGCGCTGCGGTTTTTGGAGGTTGTGAATCAGTGGTGGTTTTTTTTGCTATAAGATACCACACAAGCACACCTGGTAATCCACACAAACACACCTGGCAACTATGAGTCGACTCACCACTGAGTCGTTGTTGACTCACCTGCCTAGTTGGCAGCTGACATGGCACTGTAACCTTCAAAAATGGGTAATAATACCAAATTAACCGGTAAAACACATGTTAGTACCCTTTAAAGGAAAAAAATAATCACAAGGGACCATTTAAACTAATATACTAAACATTGTTGGGCTACAGTCACTACTAGAAAAATAGCCTTTTACGACGCTCATTGCTCGTCGTAAAAGGCTCAGACGACGCACAAATGCGCGTCAAAGAAGGCCCTGTCATAAAGAGAGACGAACCTCATTTACGACGTGCAATTACAACGCACGTTTATGACACGCAATGCGTATCAAGGAAGGCCCTGTCATAAAGGAAGACGACATGCATTCGCGTGTCGTAACCTTACGACACGCGTGTTAATGACATGCAACGCGTATCAAGAAAGACCCTGTCAAGAAAGGCCATGTCATAAATGAAGATGACACACATTTTTGTGTATCATAATTTTAAATGCTTAAAAAAATATTATTTATAGATTTACTTATTTTCAAATTAAATTTGTATTTAATGTTTCTGAATAGAAGATAAAAATCATATACAAAAAATAGAATCCATTGCATAAATTTAATGTCATACAATTCTATTTCTTACAATATATAAATTTCCATCTAATCTACTATGTACATCAAATTCCAACTAAGTAATGTTGCATCTTGCCATTTATAATTCTTTAAGACTAATGCTCCAAACAGCTGATTATATGGATAAGCAGTTGTGCATTGGCTGCATCCCGGTTGCTGATATCCTTCCACATATCTTTGCACCACATAAAACTAGATCATACCTTTGCACCACATAAAACTAGAAGATGGAGAGAGCTAGACTCCATATCCTTAACAGCCCCACCTAAGGAGATAGAGTGATCCTTTTCATTTTGATCTCATTCATCCAAATAAGGGAAAATCAATAACAAAATGAAAATGAAAATGAAGTGAATTGACATTCTAACTTGTTTATCGAGGATAGAGTGCAACTTTAAGTCCTGATTCAACTGTTGTATCTGTAATCTTTTGGATATGACTGGATGCCACACCTTTGAGATAGTCACCCATGCGTGTCTGAAAGAAATTGTAATTATTTTAGATAAAAGGTACATAAATTAGCACTATAACTCTAAACAAACAAACATGTGTCCCTGTAGCTCGGGACATTTTTTCTTCCTCCTGAAGATCCATTCGAAAAAGATTTGTTTAATAATATATTAACTCTTAACATATTAAATAAAAACAATAAAAAAAATTAAATAGACCATACCAATTTCCCTGAAATAACACAAAGTGATTCAGTGTCTACTGCCCATCTTTCCCTGCAAAGTTAATCTCAACAAGTAGGTTTGGTTTGGATATATCTCTTTTTCCATGAATCTGTATAGTATAACTATTCTGAAGTGTTGTTTCTTGTTTACATAATATCTTAATTGGTTTCTGCAATCCCATAATTGGTGCTTTCTGTCTCTGAATTTAATCTGCTGCTAGTGCTAGATGATGATGTCCAACAACCTGAGCCTGAGAATAAAAACAACAGTCTATTGTTCATATTCATTAATTATCTTTTGAAAGGCGATAACCTGCCTATCTGTAGTAATACTTACTAGAGGTAGAGTTGTTTTCAAGTATTCAACTATTAGGCTGCATCTATTACACTGTGCAGGAGTAGACTCAACTAGACTGATCAAACTTTCTATGACTTGACTAGACTTTGACCGATGGGTTATTTCATTTCTTCCCATTACACCATTCTACTTTCAGTTTCTTTCTTTTTATTCATTTTACTTTAAAAATAAAATGCTATAATAAATAAATTAATGAAATTACAATACTATTTCTTGTAGGCTGCAACAGCTATTGCTGCATCTGACCTGGCACGTACTCATCCAATTAGACTTGGTTTGGCTTTGAATTTCTCAGTTTTCTACTATGAGATATTAAACTCTCTTGAAAGGTTTAATTAATCATGATGTCATTAGTCTTTACCAAATTCTAAAATACAATCAATATTTCTTTTTGTATTTAAAAAATTATTTCTAAACCAATCAGGGCATCCCATACCTTCAAAAATTCGGCGATTTTTGCAGCTATGCTGTGCTGTTCAACGCTACTCTGGTTTCCATGCCAGGTGAACAATGAAGAACCAAATTGAAGAAGAAAGCATTCGGACGTATTCAATGAGGTTGCCACCTGAAACAAACAAATTTCATTAGCCCTAATTTTAACAATTCCAAGGAATAACTTAGAAGGGGCTCATAATCATACGACATCTACTTGAACGGCTTTATTATTATGGGGTGAAGTGCCAGATATCTGAATTAGGGCTACACCATCTAAAGTGTAGGTTTCATCATTCAATTCTTTGTCTGCAATGGAGTTCTTGTATCCAGAGCTCAATCCAGCCTAATAACACAACATTTTCCATCTGAATCTAATATCACAGCAAAATATTTGAAAAAACTAAAAATGTGACGCAAGTACCTACGTTTAACACAACCATAGGCTAAAAGATGGCGACAAATTGTGGAGGCTCTTTCCCTTGAAATACACGACCTTGAACTGGTCTTCCCTTGAGTGAATTGAACATTGTAGTAGCCAATCGAGCAACAATGTTACCTCGATGCTATCTTTGCCAATCCAACAACACAAATAGTAATCTTCTTTCTTTTCATTAGAATGGTAAGTGTAAAGAACAATGTAGCAATCTCCACTGTAGAATTTACCAATATCTTCTTTGGGTACTGTGGTTTTAGCATTGCCATTAATCCTCCACACCTCAATTTTCCCATTTTCTTCAAGCAAAGGTGGGACTTCTTCAGTTGCAACAGAACTTTTAGCCAACCCTTTAAGCCCAACTCCTTGTTGCTTTAACAAAGCTAGTAATATACAAAAATTACACTGAAAACTTCATCCCATTTGTTTTCATTCTCTTTCCATAAAGGATACCCCAGTAAAATAGCAGCAGGCGTTGACCTGGCCATCAAACACATGATTTGATTGCATCCCAGTAGCTGATATCCCTTCCACATATCCCTGATATAATACCTGTCTTCTTGTTTTAACTCCAATATGTTGTTCAAGATATTCCTGCATAGATACATGGGGCAAGGTTCAAACTGTATGTAGGATTGGATAATGGATAATATAAGCATCATCATCATATGATATGGTATAAAAGAATGAAACCTAAGCTGTGTGTAATGAGTGTCCAGATCAACAGCTGCCCTTTGCTCTGGAGTTTTGGCCATCAAGAAACGCATTTCAATGGATAAGGTTTGACAATCAAACTGCATCAACCATTTTCACCATAGTAGATGATGATATAAATAATCAGTCAAATATATATTATATTATTTTATTAAAAACAAAAAGAAAAAAGGTGATCTAGGAAGGAGTGGCATGAATCAATATTTTATTTGGTTATGTTATGCTATTGCCACCACCTCTACTGATTGGTCATGATGTAAACAATAAAAAAAAAATACATACATACATCTTTCATACATATTTTATAGTCTTTTTCCATATTGTTATGCTTAATCTGTACAGGAACATATTGGAAAAACCCTTTCTATTAATTAGATACAACTTTGCTTAAAGTAGATCACATAGGTGTATGGATTCAGAATATTCCAATGCCATATTTGATATTGTCATTGTAAAACTGTACAAGTAGTGTTTTGTTTTACCTATACTTGTTTTTGTCATTGTAAAACTGTACAGCTGGTCAGTGATGACCCAACTGCCAAAAGCTAATAAAAATTAATGAATAAATTTTATGCTTTCTAAATGAATAGATTAAGTGCCTCATCACCAGGCCTCAAGAAAGCAAATAGGGCACATGTAATGGCATGAGTGCCTGAGAAGAACTGGACTAAAGTTTGTTAAGTAAATTGAGAACCTAATAAAAATGGTGGGAAGAACAAATGAATGATTAAAAATGGAAAACCTATTAACAAACAATTGTTGATTCAACACCAAAATTTTCTATAAAATCTTGGTCTAGGGCTTCTCTTCCACCTGCTTCCTGTCTACAAAATCTTGGTCTAGAAAAAAATTAGCTGCGAAAACAAAAGGATTTAGCAAGATAGGGTTCTGGTAGAAGAATGAAAACATAGGGAAAAAAATAAACCGAAACACACCTTAATAAGACATAGGGCTTGTAAATTAGAGCAATAGAAGAAGTAATCCTAAGGTCGTCGGACCTTATGTTGTCGGCAAGGGGAGAGGAGGTGAGATCTTGTAGTGATAGTACCTAAAGGTTTCTAGTTCGAATGATTTGGGCTCTGTGGAACCTTGATTCGAGGCGAATCATAAAGCATCCTAGTGCTTCGTCGCAGTGGAAGGTGCGTTATGAGTGTCGATTCGCTTAGGTGGCGAAGCAGCAGCAGTGGTGAAAGTTAAAACCCTAAGTCGTCGGTTAATAGAGAACAACATTACATGCTTCCTTCTGCAGACATTTACACCAATTTCCCCTTTCGTCTCTCACTCTAGAAACCCTAATCTCTCTGCCACAATGAACACCATTACAGTTTCCACGGCACCTTGAAAGCCCTAACCTGAATCTCTAGATCAGAAGCTACTGAACTCCTCAACCTGCACACACGATGACCATGCTAGATCTACCACCAGAAGCTTTTCGAAGATCGTACATGGGATATATTTACAAATTAAAGCCGCAAAATTGGAATTCATCAGAGAGATTGTGGTATATGACATCGCCGGTAATTAACGATGCCATGGAAGAGGATGAGGGGTGTAGGGTTGGGGTTTGTTGTTGTTGGAGTTATTTGAAGAAGCGTATCTAGAAAGAAGCAGGTCAAGGAATAGTGCAAGAAAACTATTGGCGAGTATTCTCAAGAACAACAGAGAGATGAAGAAGGTGAAATTATAGCAATGATGAAGTAGATGAATGGAAATCAGAAGCCCTTTTTCTTGATTGAGATGATGAAGTCGAGAGATGGAGATGAAATCGTAACCTTCGATCTTTGATTGAGAAGTCGCACAAAAGTGTGAGGAGAATGAAAGATGCGTGAAAATGCTTAGGGAAGGGAGGGTAGCAGGCTTTTCTAATTTTTTGGCTTTTCTATTCCCGCTTGTAACTAAGGAATGCGCGTTCATTAAAATTATAAAGCGACACATATAGAGGGCGCGTATTTAAGGTACATCGCCCTCCGTCTTTTTAATTTTTTTTTTCTTTTGACACTAATTTAAAGGCGCACAATAATAAGTGACCTAAATCCTTAAATTTTCTGAAGAGATGACCCTTTTTTAATGTCAATCTCGTTTGCGTAACATAAACTAATGAGTGTCGTAATTTGGGCGTCGTAAAAGGCTATTTTTCTAGTAGTGAGTGACAATAACCCAAATTTAAAAAAGGATCAGTTGACCCCACATTATTTCGAAAGAAAGTTAGGAATCATCTTATGCTTGTTCAAATTTATGTCAATGATATTATTTTTGGCTATACTGACCTTGTTTTATCTAATGAATTTGAAAATCTGATGAAAAGAAAATTTGAAATGAGCATGATGGGAAATATTAATAATTTTCTTTGTCTAAATATTCGTCAAAGCAGAGAAGGAATTTTTATCAACCAAGAAAAGTATGCGAAGAATTTGCTTGAAATGTTTGGATTGACGAATAGCACAAAATTACGAGTACCAATGGCAACTAGAACAAGGATGACACCTTCGTTAGATAAACCGGCAGTTGACTTAACTCTTTATCGAAACATGATAGGTTCATTAATTTATCTTACATCAAGTAGACCTGATATCATGTTTTTTGTTTGTAATTGTGCTAGGTACGATTCAAATCCACGGGAATCACATCTTATTGCAGTCAAAAATATTTTTCCTTATCTCAAAGGATCAATTTTGTTAGGGTTGTGGTATCCTTCGAAAACTAGTTTCTTTATTCAAGCTTTCTCAGAAGTTGATTTGGGAGGTTGCAATCTTAATTAAAAAAGTAAGATTAGAGGATGTCAGTTAGTTGATGGAAAATTGGTGAGTTGGTAATCGAAGAAACAAATATGTGTTTCAATTTCGACTACTGAAGCAGAATATGTTGCTGCTACTGCTTGCACATCACAGATAATTTGGATTCAAAGTCAATTGCGTGATTATGCAATAAACATGAAGAAAATTCCTTTATATTATGATTCTCAAAGTTCAATTTGTATTTGTCATAATCCTGTGCGGCATTTGAAGACTAAGCATATTGGTCTTCATAGCCATTTCATAAAAGATCATATAGAGGATGGTATTATTGAAGTGCATTTCGTGAAAACCACTGATCATTTGGCTGATATTTTCAAAAAACCGTTAGATGAAAAATCATTTGTGAGAATTTTAGGTGGACTTTGAATGGTCGAAGGGAGTTCTATTTAGAAAGAATAGCGATAACTGGACAGCTGTAAGATTCAAAGGTTACTGTTCATAGTCAAAGATTCGTTACCCTTCGTCTTCGTTAATAGGGACTGAAAAATTTGTGTGTCTGGTACATTTGAAATATTTTCGTTAAGTAGTTTTTAGTTTTGAAAAATTCAAAAACAACAAAAAGATTTTTCATTTTTTTTGTCATTTATTTTCGAAAAATTTAAAAACAACAAAAAGATTTTTCGTTTCTTTTCGAAAAACACAAAAAAAAAAACAAAAAGATTTTTATTTGTTTTTTCTTTTATTTTCGAAAGATCAAAAATCACAAACATATTTTGTCCTGTATTGTTTTGTCTTCATGAATTGTTTAAGGTAACAAAGATGAATCTCAATGGTTAATGCTTGCAGTTCTAGGGCCAGGTAAATCTTTCGACACTTTTGTAGTAGTTAAGATGTCCCTAGAAGCATGATGCAACATGTTGACGAAAGCCTCAAATGACTCCATGTGTGTTTAACAAAAGCCTTAATGAAATATTTCATACAAAAATTTCTTCCCAAGACAGGCTAATATTCACATTAGTCACATGAGCTACCTGACTCTTCTCATATGAGTTAAGAGTTTACTGTTTTGTCCATAATAACAGAGGTACACACGAATTCTTAAACCAATCTTTTTCATCTAAACATTCTTTCACAATCACACACAAAGACATATGTCCAAGAAGTCTTTGATAAAACCCATCGAGACATAGACATATAAAAAATTTGTGTTTATGATATGACATCATGAGACCGTGATGAAAGTGATGGGGAACTTTGTTCCAATTTTTAACAAAACTTTTGTTTCTATACCAAGATTCGAAACTCCAAATTATATTCATTTCGTATGAGTGATCTTTATCAAATTATCGAAACCCACGATGTTTGTTACCCAACAAGATCCAAGACAAACTTTTTCATGAATATGATTTCCGAGTGAGTTTCATTTGATTTCTAAGTCACTTTCAAATTTAATTCAAAGCATACTTGTCACTGAGTACACTGGAAAAACAAGTGATTTCTATTACAATTTCTCACCTTATGTTTTGGATGATATGTAACGAAGTCGTATACCTACCCATGAAGCCTTGAAATAGAAGCCCTTCGAAACTTCTCAATAAATTTTCGATTGTAATTCATAGGAAAACACACAAGAAGTTGATTATCTCTCTTGATAATTAACAAGGAAACTTTTTCCCGGAGTTTAGCTGCTTTCGTGTCAAAATATTTTTGACATCACAAATCCAAAGTTTATTTTTATTTGACTCTTATCTTTTTCTTTGGCACATTGCACTCATGAAATCCTTGAGGTTCTGAGTAATATCAACTCAGTCTGATGATTTCGAAATTCTGGCACATGACTTCGCTTTAAATCCCAAAAGTGAAAGAGCCTAACCTGCATCCGAAGGTTACTGAAGCTTCATATTACATTGGGGGAAATAAACGGTCTGTGAGAAGTGATGTCTTGTATTCTATCCGATTTTCAAGGAGAAGTGACAGTTACTTTTTCACACGTGGCTACTTTGTTGTAATAGTGGTGCGAGTTTCAAGGTGCCACGTTGGATTTCATTAAATGCACATCCCGCCTCAAATTCAAATATTAGGGTTACATATAAAAAGGAATTCAAGGGTTTGTTATCAGTTTACGCTTTCAGAAGAAAATTTTCTAAATTC